AAGTTTGAATAGTATAGGCTAAACATTTATCTGTAGTACAAATTACATTTTTTTTTCAGCATCCTTTTCGATTTGTGGAAACTTGAAGGTTTTAGACATTATCTAGGAGTCGAACTTAGTTTCTTTCTTATATCTTTATATAACCTAGAACAAATATTATCTGTTAAAACATTTGGTAATCCAGTAAATTTATTATGCTATTTCAAATATTCAGGAGTTAATGTTTTATTGGTCTGTGTATTCTATTTCCATTTTATATAATTGCACATCTCTTTAAATTAACAATATCTAACAAAAATAAACATGCTTTAGAGAGACACCTTAAAGATTTAAGCAAATTGTATTAGCATAAGATAGTGGAGCTAGTGTCATTGACATTTAAAATTCATGCTATTACCTCAATTTCAATTCCACACTGTTCACATTTAATATAATATGATTCAATTTTATATCTATATTCTATATTTTCATCATCATCGTAATCTAATTCGCATAAAGGACATAATGTTTCATCAATAATTTTATAATAATCTATATTTTCACTATTATCATCTTTATATAAATTAGAATACTGTTCTAATATTTTATTACGAAAATAAGTATAGTTGTGAGTTAGATTAAATGATGCACTTATCTTAGTCTCCAGTAAAGATTTGTCTTCTGAATTAGAGGTATGAGACAATGAAATAGATGCAGTTGATAAGCTTGTCTCAGTTTTTGATATATTTTCTTCAGACAAGATTTTATTATTAGTTTCAGAAATTTTAGTTATATGACCACATGTCCTGGGGATACAGGGTTTACATCTATTAGAGAAATAATCTATGATGTATTAAATTTGAGAATTAGTGAGTTTTGATATTCTATTTGCACTATAAGATTTAACTCAGTTAACCTTTTCTATTCCTATGCTGTTAAACAACTTATAAATTTTACAAGCTCTTTGAGTTTGTCTGCAGAAATTTTTATATAAGATACCAAAAAAACAATTCCAGATTTCATCATAAACCTGAATTCTTGCTAAGTCATCTGCTCTTTTAGTATTTTTGCAATTAGATAAGACATCATAAACTCTCTTTTCACAGCTTTTTGTATAATGATACCAACTTAAAATTTCTTCTTGCTTAGTGTGGATAGTATTCTTTTTAGCTTTTCTTGCATTTTAATACATATAGACTAGTTCAATAGCTTCATTTTCAGTATTATCAAGTATACCCTGCTTTCTATTTCTGTTAATAACTTCAATTGATTTCAAGTCAAATTCCAAACTCAACTCTTGTATAAATTTTTGCATCTCAATTCGATTATTTTTCTGAATTGAATTATTTGTAGTTATATTGGTGAGCAATATAGAATCATATAAATTCTCATTCATATGAGGATGAGTCCCAGAATCGCATGGTTGATATTCAGTCATAATATTT